GTCGACGGTTAACGGTGTTGCCAGCGGTGGTGCACCGACGGCCATGTACAGACCGAACTTCAGCCAGGCGTTCCAGCGTGCTGGGCCGACCACAGTGCCGCCAACCTTGTCAGCGGGTCTCTACCCCACGCAGAGCTTCACGTCGGGCCTATTGAGCAACGGTACACAAAGTAATATTGCTTATCGGTGTTCTTATGAGTTTGCTTCTGCCGCGCATATTAACCTACGATTTATTTTCGTTTCGCTGTATCGTTCGCATTGTGCGAGATATTTGATATAATTGCCCGGCGGCGTGACGGGATTTACTTGTGCTTGAAAGCATTTCATTCACGATATATAGTTGTTGAATATGAGAGTATTCGAACATTTGTGAACCTTTTCTTTATCAGAGGTTTTATTAATTCGAATGCCTCGGTACGTATTAAGTTAGGATCGAATACCTTGGGTGATGATTTTCCAATTACTAGTAAATATTCTGTAATATTCTAATAATGCAACATTTAAGTATTGGAATATTGTAAAAAGGATGGTTAATGGTGATTCCATCGAAGAATTTTAGAAGTTTATTAATATTGTAACAAAATTTAACTATTATGATTATATTCGCAGAGTTTGAAGCAAATCTGAAAATATATATGGAAAAATATTTAATACAAGTGTATATTTCACAGAAGTATTTAAACAATTGCAATCAATAGGAATATAATAATATTTACTGAACTCTTAATTAATATCATTGAATTATTGGAGATCGCAAAAATTTTAAATCATTTACTATATTTTTGGAATTTTCTCATGTTACAGAACATGTTGAATGAATTTAATTTAGTATACTTTGCTTAACTCGTTGGACATTGGAAACTATTTGAACACTACATATTAATCAAGTCGAAAACAAATCTGGAAAATTGCATCACATTGAAATGTTCTTCAATATTCGGTGGGAATATTTTAAACTTTTATTATATTTCCCTTCGATAAATATTTTGTAACTCCTACATACATTTAAGATTAGCTTCAAATTTTTCCAATTACATCGTGATATTATTCGCGTCTTGCAGTTTCAAAAATCTTGCTAATGCTCGATTATTTTCACGAGTCAGGAAATGCATAGTATAAATGTATAGAAACCGATTCGTCAAGGAAAATTGTGATTAATCTTGCACATGATAGTAGTTTTGACAAGCTGTTTCAACGTGTCTGCTTCTGTTTATTCGAGTTCTTTGTAGAATGAATGGTACGTTTTGTTTTGCCCTTCTTTGTACGTAATACTGGATAATCCAGTCGGAGTAGATTTTCCACTTGTAGATTGCGAACGACGCGTGTGCAACATGTAACTTTCCAAATAATTACACGTTGGAATTGCGGTGAAAAAAGAGGAACGTTTATTTATTTGTTGTTTAAAAAGAAATTGTAATATATTGGAAAAAGTTACATTTTCCTATCTTCTGTACTAAATCCTTCATAACTCTTTAATCTTTTTGCTACGAAGGCAAAGTAGTATGCGTTTAATCTAACCTTAATCGGTTTTCTTTTTTACAATTTTTACAATTGATAATTGATCGATTTGTATGCCATTCTTCATTAAGAATGCAAATAGCTTTTTAATTGACAGAACCTTCGATCGACAGAATGATTTAATCATTGTATTACGATTGTACTGTTGTGAACAAAAAAATATTTGTATAGTATTAGTTGTATTCAATGGCATATATTGGTTGACTTCTGAGCCCTCTAATTAATGAAAATTCCTACTTTGATTTTAGTCTTTGCAAATGGAATAATATAATTTGTTTTCAATGGAAATGATAATATAACTTAAAGAAATTGATTAGAGAATCTATTAAGGACCAAGCAACAATTTATCGTAATATTATACTTCGGTGTTACAAAATCGTAAAAATTTATTTGGGAAACAACTCACGAAATGTCACACTGATTTCAACATTGGTCCTAAATATTGAATTAACAAAGCACGTTAACAAAAGCTGATTCGCTCTGTACATATCATTTCCGAAAATGTCGTAGCGAAAGGATTAATTTGAATTTCCCACATCCGCTTGAAAACACGCTTTGAAGCCTGAAGTCACAAAATAAAACAAAAAAAAAAAAAAAAAAAAAACAAAATCACTGTCTAAGAATAATTATTCTTGCAGGACCGACGGATCTGAGCATGAAGAACACGAAGCCGCTACTGAGTCACAAGTTAAACGCGACGGAAATGACAGCCGTCAGGCAATTGATCACCGGATATCGAGAATCAGCGGCATTCCTGCTGAGGTCCGCCGACGAGCTCGAGCAACTGTTGCTTCAGCAACCATAGAGTTACGTTTACGTAGCCAGTGGCCAGCAATTGGGCACGTAAGTTTCTTTGAGTTCGTGGGAAACCGAATGTTAAAACTCTCGGCCCGATCCTCGAATATTGGAGACTTCAACGCCCGCATATGAACGATCGCTGGATCACCAATGCTCCGCGACAAGATTACCGACCGTCGGTAACGAGTTTCCGTTATCCACCATCGGGAAACGCGATTCCCCGAGAGCAGAGAGCAGAGAAAAAGAGAGGGAGAGCACCCCGGAGGGAGCAACGAAGTTTTACGATTCGACGATACTTACCACGAAAGACGTCGAGGACAGTGAACTCGCCCAGCAACTCGACGAAAGTTACCCCGAACGGAAGCTATCGGAATTTCCTATCGTTCGAGTATCGAACGAACAGCGTTTTCTTCTGCGGATTGCAAGACCGCCTCGTGAAGAAAATTATGACGAACGTCCCTCCGGTTTGTTGGCATCACCAGACCAGAGAATGGAAAACGAATTTCGTTGGTGAAAGAAGAGAGTTCGAAGAAGAGCTGCCGGGAGACAGGAAGAAGTGGTTCTTCTACCGGCTAGGTTTAAGGGAACTATTAAAAAGAAGAAAAGAAAAAACAGGGTGTACATAGAAGAGGATTTACAGATATTTACTTAACTATTGATAAGCTTAAGCTTAAGGGAGTACGAGGATACGATGTGTGTTGCGTGCGTGCGAGAGTGCGTGCAAGAGGCTTCTGACGAAGAGCGGCCCGGCGGGAGAATCGATCGATCGTTGCTCGGAAAATATCAGTGCGTTTTTCCTAGCACATTGCGGATCAGACAGAGTTTTCCTGCTAACTTTTTTCACGGTGGTATTTGCTTGCGTTAAACGAGAGAAATCTCAATGGAGTCGATGGATTCAGGCATGGTAAGGCAAAACATGAGATACCTCGTCGTCAGTCGTTCGCAATGTGTTAACATACGAATATTATAATGCGATGAGAAGAGAGAATAGACAAAATTAAGTCAGTTTAATGCGATATGCGAATGTTTATAGTGAAGCAATGAGAAGAAGAGGATGCATTGCTTTTGCACTGATTTGACTCTACTACTATTCCTCATCACTTCACTATACTCGTACTCTTGGGATAAAACTATAGTGAGCAGATTTAGACTGTGGTTATAGCTGATTAATTCAACAGACAAAAGAAAATGAAACAGTTGAAACAACTTTAATCCTGACTTAATTCCTGACTGGATTAAAATTACCAAAAATCTATAAGTTCTCGTTATCGAACGATTAAGAAAATTCATCTCTATATTATCGTAATACGAATATAATAAATATTGATCTTCCGAGTAATGAGTAAGCTAATTATTCTAAATTATTCAAATTATAATATAATTCAAACGTATGAAAACTGTCGAAAAGTTTCAAGTGTGTCATTGCAATTTAAAAAAAAAAAAAAAAAAAA